GTTGGCATGTTCTGTGGCGCGTCCCGTGGCGAGTCCCCCTGGCACGTCGTGCGGCGCGTCCCCTAGCACGTCCCGTGGCACGTCCATTGGCACGTTCCGCAGCGCGTCCCCTTGGCACGTCCCGCGGTGCGTCCCCATGGCACGTCCCCTGGCACGTCGCCTGGCGTGTCCCTTGGGACGTTCCACGGCGCGTCCTCCTGGCATGTTCCCCTGTCAATCAGCTTTGGGGCAGCTACTATGTGCTAGGGCAGCTCGAGCTTAAGGTTCAGATCAGTTCGGTCAGGACTCGAATGCAAAGGAGGACTCGATCCACAACGCTATAGAGCACAATCGCGGCATGGCACATCGCAATTCAGCACGGCTCAGCACAGCACAGCCCTCGGCACGGTACATCAAGATCGATACATTAAGCATTGCATTTGCCCGTCGCCCAATCAGGTTCTTTGAAACGTTGCCATGTCTTACATTTCTATATACCTTTTCGGATTCGTGGGTCGATCATGTTGCGAACTTCCCCTCATGCTGTGTATCGGCTGCCCACTTGGCACGATTGTGGGCTGCCTGAAGCTACGTCGGGCAAAGTCGCGCGGCTTGGACGGTCTTGGGGTTCCTCGGCGCATGTTACGAGGGAACGTGGCTTCGGGGATGCGAGCATGGCGTAATGTACAAGCGATCGTGGCTTCGGGGATGCGACCATTGTAATTTTCAAATGCTCGTGGCCGCGGAGACGCGAGCACTGCATAGTTTACAAGCGATCGTGGCCTCGGGGACGCGAACATGGCGCAATTTACCAGGGATTGTGCCCTCGAGAGCGCCAATCTTGTACAATTTGCTAGGGAACCTGGCTTCGGAAACACGAGCCTTGCGCAAGTTGCGCGGGGTTGTTGCCTCTGCTGCAGCGCGAATACGGCACAATGCAGGAAGGACTGTAGCCTCGGCGGCACGAATATGGTGCAAGCAAGGGCGCCCTCGAGGGCGCGAAGTTATTCGCGCTTCGCGCTTCGCGGTTCGGCTCCGATTCCTCCTCATCCTCCTCTCCTCCCCTGGTAGGCAGCGCGAGAGCGCGAAGTTATCCGCGCTTCGCGCAGCGCGAAGCGCAAAGTTGGGAGCCCTTGGTGCAAGCTGCCAGGGATTGTTGCCTCGGCGGCGCGAACATATGCGATTCGCAGATGGGGGCTGTGGCCTCCCGTCGGCGCGAGCACGGTGCAGTCTGCGAGGGATTGGGGCCTCGGCAGCGCGAGCACCGCGCCACTTGCGAGGAGCTGTGACCTCGGCAGCGCGAGTCCAGTGCAGTTTGCGGAGGTATTCGGTCTCGGATGTGCAGATCTCACACGACCCCCAGGAGATTCCGAAAACCCTCCCGGGGGAGGGTTGCCAGGATGGTTTTCGGCTTGCCCCCCTCGCGCGGACTTCAACAATTTACAGTAGGAAGCAAAAAGCAGGACCGTAACATTGGAGACTTGAAGCGGCAACGGGTGCAGGGAGCAGCAACCTAACCTTGCAGCTTGGTGACCCCGCAAGGGGGCCGGCGGGTTTCAAGCTTCAGGCTCGCGAATTGCGCGAAAGTCCCGGGCGAAACGCCTGGCTCGCCCTACCAACACGTCTCGGGGTGCGACAACGAGGAGTTGGGTATAATCGGAGGTGGACAGACCACCTACCCTGGCACGTCGATTCGTGAATTGTCCGTTTTCGGTTCTCGAGAGGGCGCCGCGGCCATCATTTTCCAGGCTCGCGCCCGCCAGCTTTGGGCCCGAGGTCGTTGGCACTGGACCACGTTTTACGAAAGGGAGGCCTGTCCGTCCCCGATAGAAGGAGAAGGGATGGAGGAGTGAGCAGATTGCCCCAGCAGGTCACCCCCTGGCGGAGCCCTGTGTCCCCTCCCCCACGGGGCCCCCGTGACCCCTCCCCTGCAGAACCCCTTGCCACCCCCGCGGCCGCTCCCTCGCGGGGGGCCCAGGACCCCTCCCCCGGGGGGGGCCCGTGGCGAGGGGCGTGGACGAATGACGACGGCGATGCCCGTGGCGGGCCTCTCTCGGAGGCCGGACCGCCCGGAGGGCGGAGCGCAGAAGTAGCAGCAAGGACGGCGAGGCGGGGCGAGGAGCAGGAGAGCTCGGCCACGGGAGGCAGGGGCGGGGGCACGGCCACGCGGGCAGCGCGGTGCTTTTTGTTGCCCGGGGTCGTGGCCGCCCAGGCCCAACACGTGGCCAGCCTCGGGGCGAGGCCGAGGCGCTCAATTAGGCCTGCAGCCATACGGGGCGTGAAAACGACCACAGCCACTGCTTTTCTTTTGTTGCCGCCTTCCAGCCCGCAGGAGCAAAACTGCGGCTGTGGTCATTTTCGTGGAGCTTGGCACCGGGGAAATGGCCACAACCACTGCCTCTTTTTCGGCCGGCTGGAAGGCGGCGCAAACAAGAAGCAGTGGCTGTGGTCATTCTCCCGTCCCGCAACCAGAGCTGCGACTGAAAAACGATTCGCGCTGTGAATATTTTACGAGCGATGATCTGCGTTTCATCAATTCGATTCAGGCTCAGGCTAGCCCCGAAGCTGAGATGCACACCAATCGACAGAAAATGCTCAGAAGCACCCGTCTGAATGTACACCATTCCCGAGCAAGCTGTGAGGACGTCTGCGGCGAGACAGCGGGTTGGCTGTGCGGTCTGGGGCGCACTGTCCCCCCCAGTGGGGCTCTTCCGTCGTCCTTCCCGGCCTTCGATCCGAGCCTTCTAGCGAAACGCTACTCGGGAACAGGAGGAGGAGGAGGAGGAGGAGGAGGAGGAGGAGGAGGAGGAGGAGGAGGAGGAGGAGGAGGAGGAAAGGAGGAAAGGAAGGAGGTTTGGAGGAGGAGGGGGAGGAGGAGGAGGGGGAGCATCGAGGAGGACGAGGAGGGGAGGAGGAGGAGGAGGAGGAGAGGAGGAGGAGGAGGAGGAGAGGAGGAGGAGGAGGAGGAGGAGGAGGAGGAGGAGGAGGAGGAGGAGGAGGAGGAGGAGGAGGAGGAGGAGGAGGAGGAGGAGGAGGAGGAGGAGGAGGGGAGGAGGAGGAGGAGGAGGAGGGAGGAGGAGGAGGAGGAGGAGGAGGAGGAGGAGGAGGAGGAGGAGGAGGAGGAGGAGGGGGAGGAGGGGGAGGAAAACAGCGGGGGTGGCAGTTGACGCCATCATGGCAAGTTGTGAAGGTGTGGAGGTACGTTGGACCCTCCTCTAGGGACGTCTTCGTTGGCCGAGGGTCCCTAGAGGAGTTCTCGGCCCCCTCTGGTGGCGATTGGCGCCCTCATGTAAATAATGGGAGTGGGGACCCACGCAACCCCTATGATGGAAGTTGCGTGGGGTGTGAGGCCTATTGACGGTCCTCACTGGCGAGGCCTAAAGATGGTCCTCACTGGGAGGGGGGAAAGGAGGGGAGGAACCATGATGTTCAGGGTGCCGATGCCCTCCTTGGCGCACCGTCCTCTCGGGAACGCCTGGAAAAGCAGCCGGGATGTCCACCAAGGGCTTCCTTAAGCCACCGCCGCGCCCCCTGGAAAGAGGGGGCGGGGAGGAGAGGGGTGGGTGGGTGGTTGCCCCCCAATGTTCATAGGTCCCTCTGGAAGGCCCAAAGCGGCGTTACAACTTTTCAGCCCGTTGGAGGGAGGAATTGTCCGTCCCCGCGGCAGGAAGCTCCTCCAGGAAATGGTTGTTCTCCTGAGCACTGGCGGAAAGGACGTGCCAGCGTGTCCTGACTGAGGAGGGGGAAGGAGGAGGAGGAGGAGGAGGAGGAGGAGGAGGAGGAGGAGAAGAAGCAGGAGGGGCAGGAGGAGCAGGAGCAACAGGGAGCGACCGGAGGAAAGGGACGGCGGCGGAGCAGGACGTGTGGAACCCATGGCCGGAGGAGGAGCAGGAGGAACAGGACGCGACCAGAGGAGAGGGATGGCGGCGGAGCAGGATGCGCAGAGCCCACGGCCGCTCTGCGCGAGCAGGAGAAGCAAGAGCAGGAGGAGCAGGACGGCGGCGACTCCGCCCCTCCGCCCCCCCACTACTGCCTCTCGGCGGCGCGTTGATGGAGGAAGGCAGAGTCAGAGGGGTGGGCTTCTCCAGAAGGCTCAGATGGCCTTTGGCCAGTGAGAAGCTTCCTGGGCCTTCTCCGAAGACAGAGATGGCTCCTCAAGAAGGGCTGAGGGCTCCGTAGAAGCCCTGCCACCCTCCGAGAAGGCCTGCCCCCTCTCACCTTCCGATTTCGGGCGGGCCGCCGACACTCTCCCCCCCCCCTCCCGCAGGACTCCTCCTTCTCCTCCTCCTCCTCCTCCTCCTCCTTCACTCCTGGGCCCTAGACTCCAGGGCCCCAGATTCGAGGAGGCCCTGGGACTCCTGTGCTCTAGACTCGAGGGTGGGGCCCAGAACTCCTGGGCCCCAGACTCCAAGGGCTTGGCATCGCGCGGACGTGTCTTTTCTTTTCTCCCCCGGCGAGGGCCGGGAGCATCCTGAGTCATCCAGCAGAAGCTACACGCACGAGGCTGAAAAGTGCACGGGGAAGGGACGTCCGAGCGATGGCGAGGGGCGGGGGAGGGGCAGGATTGCTGGCCCCCCCCCCCTCGCCTCGATTTGAGATGTTCCAACCTGCTTTAGCCTCGATGGCCAGAAAGACTCTCGAGCACCAGGAAAGTGCCGAAACTAGAGGGCCTTCGCGTGTCGGGCCCTGGGAGGCGATGTTCGTTCGACGCTTCTGCGATGCTCTTTCTGGGGGCCCGAAACTGTTTCCGGGCTGTGGCCTTCAAGTGCGGTGAGAACAACATAAGTCAGAGCGTGAATTACCTACCCCGCTTTCGCCTCCAGGCAAAACCAAGCCATACCACGCGCCTCCTCGTCAAGCGGCCTGACCAGTACAGGCTGCAATTTGGCATCGTTTGGTATCTCTTGGAAGCGAGGGTGGTCAAAAGCGAGGTAGGTTTGTTTTCCCCCTAAGAAGCCTCGGCCTGGCGCTGGGCCGTGGCCCGCCGCCGCCGCTCCCGCGCACCTCCGCCGGCGCTGCAGGTGGACGCCTCGGTGGGCCTGCAGCTCCGGGAGTGCACGTCCTGCCACATCCAGGCCGGCCCTCGGACGGACGAGGAGGGCGGGGAGGAGGGGGGGGATTGGGCGCGGCTAGGACGAGGGTCACCGAGATGAGTCTTTGGTTTTGGCTCCCCCCCCTGTTTCTCTCCTCCTCGTGCTCCTCCTCCTCCTCCTCCTCCTCCTCCTGCTCCTCCTGCTCCTCCGCCTCCTCCGCCTCCTCCTCCTCTTCCTCCTCCTCCTCCTCCTCCTCCTCCTCCTCCTCCTCGCACCCCCGGTTTAGCGCACCCCTCACACGGTTCGTGGCCCCATGGGGGGCTCCACCGAAGGCCCCAGTGGCAAAGTTCGCATGCAGTTCCACCCCCATTTCGGCGCACTTCTCACAAGGTTCGTGGCCCCATAGGGAGGTCCACCGAGGACGGTATTTACCATTGCGTTACTCACAACTGCATATGGTTGGGTCCTTCGTCAGGATAATTGGCGTGTTCGCCTTTTGGGCTTCCACTGCGTCCAAGACGGCACAAGAGGCACCCAAGCCGGTCGAGGATGCCCCCAAGAGGGCCCCAAGACAGCCCACGAGGGGGCCAAGATGGCCCACGAGGCGCCCAAACCGCCCAAGAGCGCCCCAAGGCGGCGCCCAAGACGGGGACGAGAAAGCGGAAATTCGCTCCTTTTGGCCGATGAGACCCCCAGGAGACCCCAAGAGGCTCCAAGAAGCGCCCACTCCCCAAGAGGTCTCCATGAGACCTGAAAAAACACCAAAGAGGGCCCGAAGAAGCCCCGAGAGGCACCCCAATAGAGCCCCTTCCGGCCCCGGATGCCACACCTCCCCGTGACATCTCGGGAACGCACCCGATATCGCTCCCCCGCGAAAGGATGGTCCAGAACGCTCCCGAGCAGCCCAAGGCAGCCTTCCGACGGCTCTCGAGGCTCCCAGGTAACCTCCAAGAGACCCAAAGAGAGGTCCGAGAGACTCATCCCGGGACGGCCCGAAGAGGCCAACATCGTAGATTTCCATTGGGTTTTCAATGTTTTTGGCTGCTCGCGTTTTCGAGCTTCCAACGGTCCAAGAGCGCCGACGAGGCTTCCAAGACCGCCCCAAGACCACCCAAGGGACCCTCAGGACGGCCCCAAGACGGGCCAAGAAGGCTCCAAGACTGCCGCAGGGGCGCCCAGGACAGCCCCAGACCACCCCAGAACAGGCCCAAGATGGGGCCAAGAGCGGGAGCAGGAGGCTTCCAAAGACCTCCGAAGGGCCTCCGGGACCACCCAGAGGCCCCCAACACACCCCAGATCCCTGAGAGGCTCCAGAAAGACCCCGACGAGGCTCCAAGAACAGCCCAAGAGAGCTGCGAGAGCCGTCCCGAGAGAGCCCAAAGAGGGTAAAATCGTTGATGTCCCATGGTTTTTTCTAATGTTTTTCGCCTTCTCACGTTTTCCCGCTTCCAACCCTCGAAGATCGAGGATTTTGGAATTACTCCGACGGAAGGACCCCGCATGAGAATCTTCTGGGCGAGTCTGGAAAAAACTCTCACCGTCGTCCTCGTGGTTGGTGCGGCGTCCTGGCTGTTTCTTCTGCGTATATTTCTTCTCGCCCTGGCGCGGGCCCTCCCCCCGCTCCCTACGTTGCCCCCGACCTCGCCCTCCTGTTTTTTTTCCGCGCCCCGCCACCTCCTCGCCTTTCCAGTGCATGAGCGCGCATGTCGGTTTTCCTCGGCGCCGTCGCCGCCTCGGCCAGCACATGCGCGTTCTCTAATGGCCACGTCGCGCAGCCGTTGGGACAACCCCGCGGGCCAGGCTGTCGGGACAACCCCGCGAGCCGCTTGCGCGCAAGACCAAGCCGTTGGGACAACCCCGCGGGCTTCGAGCGGGGCGCAGCCGCGCTCAGGCGGGCAGCACGAAGCCCAGCTCTGCCGCGAGCTGCTTCGCCTCCGCCCTGGACAAAGCCGCTCTTTTGTCGAACTCCAGGAACGCCTTCCGCAGTGACGCCGCCGGCCCTCGCTCCAGGAACTCCCGCGGCGGCGGCCGCAGGATCAGCATGTTCCGCATGCACGTGGCGCGGGAGAGCATGACGTAGAGGTGCAGCCACCACTTCCTCGTCCGACATGCCCGTGCGGCCACACGAACACAAAGTGGCTTACAGTTGGCTCCGAACATTCAGAATGTGGCCCGGGAGTGGTGTTCTGGGAACACGAAGAACACGAAGTGGCCTACAGTTGGCTCCGGGCATTCAAAATGTGGACCGGGAATGGTGTTCTGGGAGCACGAAGAACACGAAGTGGCCTACAGTTGGCTCGGGGCATTCGAAATGTGGCCTGGGAGTGGCGTTGCGGCAGCGCCAGAGCCCAAAAGTGGCGACAGTTATAGGAATTTGATGACCCCCTCGGATTAGTAACATGATCCGCGGGCCCCGTAAGGAGGGGGCTCCCGCTTGAGACTTCTTCGGATTAGTAAAATGTGGCCTGGGAATGGCGTTCTGGCAGCGCGAGGGCCGAAAAGTGGCGACAGTTAGAGGAATTGGATGACCCGCTCGGATTCGTAACATGATCCGCGGGCCCCATACGGAGGGGGCTCCCGCTTGAGACTTTTTCGGATTAGTAACATGATCCGCGGGCCCCATAGGGAGGGGGCTCCCGCTTGAGATTTCGTCGCAATTCACTCACAGACGAGGCCCAAGACGAGTGAGTGAGTGAGTGAGTGACTGACTGACGGACTGGTGATGATGATGATCATCACACTCACGCGCACACTCATTATCATCATATGTGAGTCCATGAGCGTGTGAGTGAGTGAGTGTTGATGAGTGAGTGAGTGAGTGAGTGAGTGAGTGAGTGAGCTAGTGAATCAGTGAGTGATCGCACGAAAACAGAAGAGGAGAGGGGGTGAGGTGAGGAGGTTCATGCGCGGGGTGTCCAGGGAAAACAAGAACCCCACTTTGGATGTGGGGGAAAAAATGAATTCCCGGAGTCCCCTCTTTTTTTTCAAAGTGGGACTCCTATTCGGGGGTCCTACACATCCCCTGACATCTGGCCGGTACCGCGCCTCCCGGCTTCCTGGGGGGAGACCCCAAGTCGCCGAAGGACAGCCCATGACGACCCCAAGGAGCTCCCAGAACGTAAAGAACGGCCCAACACGCTCCCGCGCAGCCCGCGACACCCTTCCGACGGCTCTCCAGGCCTCCAGGAGGCCGCCAGAACCCCCAGGGGGTCCGGAATATCCCACACCCCTGAAGGGCCCGGCTCACAAAACCTGCGAGGCACAAACCAAACACAGCGCCGAACAGCGCCGAGGAACTGGAAAACATGGAAACCCCACAATTCCTGTTTTTTATATGAAGTTTGGCCCCTTGTCTTTTCTTGCACAACAGACCACAATTCAGACCCCCCTCACCTCCCCAAAAAATACCCAGGAAGCCTTTGAGGGCCCCAGATCGTTGAATCCTGGCGGAAATTAATAATTTCTTCGTTTCCGCGTTTCCCCTTCTATACGATTCCGAGGCCTGCGCAGGGCCTCCAAGGGAGTCCTTGGACGCAAGACGCGACCAAAATGAGATGACATGAGTTAGCCTATCAAACCTAGCTAGAACTTGAGCGCGCGCGAAGCGCGCGCAATGGCTATAGTATGGATTTACATGTACACATACATACACATACATACATACATACACTACATGCATACATACATACATACACATACCCATGCATACATGTATACATACATACACGCATACATATACACATACTTGCATACATACGCATACATGCGCACACACATATCTGCATGCATGCATGCATATATACATACATACATACATACATACATACATACATACATACATACATACATACATAAACACATACATACATACATACACACATACGTGCATGCATACCCATATATATATATATATATATATATATATATATATATATATTATATATATACACATACATGTATAGGCATACGCGCATGATTGTGTGTATGTGTATACGTATGTGTGCATGTATGTATACATATAACGGCGCACCGGGTCCGGGGGCCCGGGGCCAGGACCTCGACCACAAATGTGGGCCCTGGGGGGCCCGGAGGCTCGTCGGACCGCCGGACGCCGTCCAAGATCGTTCGCAGGCGGCTTCGGAACGCGCTCCGATGGCTCCAGATGCCTTCCAAGACGCCTGTCATGACACCAAGAAGGTCCCAGAAGCCTCCAAGACGCTCCGAGAGGCAGCCCAAGAGAGGCCCAAGAAGCAAAAATCGTGCCATTCCTATGGGAAAACGTATATTTTTCGCATGTTCGCCTCTTGGGCTTTCACCGCGTCCAAGACGGCCCAAGAGGCGCCCAAGACGGTCTACGAGGCCTCCGGGAGCGCTCCAAGGCTGCGCACGAGTGGCCCAGGACGGCCCCAAGACGGCCGAAGAGAGCCCCAAGACGAGTTCGAGAGGGGTCCCAGACGGAGAAAGCCAACCTCGAATTCCGAGCTTCCGGCCCAAGAGGCTCCAGGAGGCGCCAAAATGCCGCCAAGAGGCGCCAAAAGGCTCCCAAAAGCACCCCAAGACGTTCCGAGAGGCACCCCAAGAGAGGTCCAAGAAACAAAAATCGTGCCATTCCTATGGGAAAACGTATATTTTTCGCATGTTCGCATCTTGGGCTTTCACCGCGTCCAAGACGGCCCAAGAGGCCTCCAAGACGGCCTAGGAGGCCTCCGGGAGCGCTCCAAGGCTGCGCACGAGTGGCTCAGGACGGCCCCAAGACGGCCCAAGAGAACCCCAAGACGACTTCGAGAGGGGTCCCAGAAGGAGAAAGCCACTCTCGAATTCCGAGCTTCCGGCCCAACATATCCCAGGAGGCGCCAAAACGCCGCCCAGAGGCGCCAAAAGGCTTCCAAAATCAGCCCAAGACGTTCCGAGAGGCACCCCAAGAGAGGTCCAAGAAACAAAAATCGTGCCATTCCTGTGGGAAAATGTATATTTTTCGCATGTTCGCATCCTGGGCTTTCACCGCGTCCAAGACGGCCCAAGAGGCCTCCAAGACCGCCCCAAGACGGCCCAAGAAGCTTCCAAGAGGGCCCCAGGACAGTCCAAGAGGGCCCCAAGACGGCCCAAGAGGCGCCCAAGATGGCCCAAGAGGGCCCCAAGACGGGCCCAAGAGGGGGCCCAGAGGGGGACCACGAACCGCAAGCTCGAGCCTTCCGCCCCAAGAGGCCGCCAGGAGGCCCCAAGGAGGCCCCTCAAGAGGCCCCAGGAGACCCCCAAGAGGCCCAAAGGAGGCCCCGAGAAGCCCCAAATCGGCCCCCAAAATGCTTCGAACCTGCTTCCAGGAGGCCCCCGACAGGTTCAGAGGCTCCCGAGAAGCTACGTCAAACTCCCAGCGAGCGGCCGGACGAGGCCCCCCACAAAATCACAAGAGGGTTCCAGTATTTGTATCCTTCAGCGCTCTCTGGCCTTCTTCCCCCTGCCCCCTTCCCTGCGACTTTCGTTGACTCAAGCTCGCCTCCTAGCTAGAACCTAAGCGCGCGCGTGGTTCTAGTATGTATGTATGCATGCATGCATGCATGCATGCATGCATGTATGTATGTATGTATGTATGTATGTATGTATGCATGCATGCATGCATGCATGTATGTATGTATGTATGTATGTATGTATGTACGTGTGTTTACATGTATGTGTATATGTATGTATGTATGTGTGTATGTATGTATATATGTATGCATGTATAGATGTATGATTGTATGCATGTACTTATGTATGTTTGCATGTATGTATGTATGTGTGTATGCATGTATGTATGTATGTATACATGTATGTATGTATGTACGTATGTCTGTGTTATGTACGTGTATGTATGCATGCATGTATGTATGTATGTATGTGTGCATGTATGTATTTGTGTATGCATGCATGTTTGTATGTATGCATGCATGTATGCGTGTATACATATATATATATGTCTATATGTCTGTCTGTCTGTTTGTCTTTCTGTGTGTATGCATGTACGTACGTACATACATACGTACGTACGTACGTATGCATGCATGCATGCATGCATGCATGTATGTATGTATGTATTTACGCTCGTACGTACGTGCGTAGGCATGTATGTATGCGTGTATGTATGTCGGAGGTTGGGGGGTGAGATCGAAGTGGAACGGAGAGCCCCCCACCGGGAAATCGGATTCGGTTTTGTGTACGTGCGTGCCGTGCGTGCGGGCGAGGCGAAGCTGCGACGGCGGGCGAGAGGAAAGTCTCCTGTGGCTGAGGCGCGGCCGGACCAAATGATTCTCCCTCCGGCAGGCGGTGGCCCGCGGTGTCCCGCTGGTGTCCCGCCTGTGTCCCGCTTGTGGCTGGGTCTCGGCCGGACCAAATGATTCTCCCTCCAGCAAGCGGTGGCCCGCGGTGTCCCGCTGGTGTCCCGCCTGTGACCCGCCGGTGTCCCGGTGTCCCGCTGGTGCGAAAACGATAGTGAGACCGATGACGAAATCGGTTGTGCGATCGATAGTGAGATCGATAATGAGACCGATAGTGAGATCGATCGTGAGATCGATATTGAGATCGAGAGTGAGATGAATAGTGATATCGATTGTGAGATCGAGTGATATCGATAGGGATATCGATAGTGGGATCGATAGCGAGATCCAGAGTGAGATCGACAGTGAAATCGATCGAGCGAGATCGATAGTGAGATCGATCGAGTGAGATCGATAGTTGGATCGATGGTCCCAAGAGCAAGCGGCAACGCAACAATCACCACTGTTGCCCATTGCTGGCCTCTCTCCCCCCAAACCTCCTTATCACCCGCAGGGTGGTCGTATAGGTATGTATGTAATGTAATGGAATGTAATGGAATGTAATGTAACGTCATGTGATGTGATGTGATGTGATGAGATGAAATGAAATGTACTGTAATGTAAAGTAATGTAATGTAATGTAATGTAATGTAGTGCAGTGTAGTGTAGTGTAGTGTAATGTTATGTAATGTAATGTAGCGTAATGTAATGTAAGGTAATGTAATGTAATGTAGTGTAATGTAATGCAATGTAATGTAATGCAATGTAATGTAGTGTAATGCGATGTGATGTAATGTAGTGTAGTGGAATGTAATGTAAAGTAATGCAATGTAATGTAATGTAATGTAATGTAATGTAATGTGTTGTAATGTAATGTAATGTAATGCGTTGTAATGTAGTGTAATGTATTGTAATGTAATGTAATGTAATGTAATGTTGTGTAGTGTAGTGTAGTGGAATGGAATGTAATGTAATGTAGTGTAATGTGATGTGATGTAATGTAGTGTAGGGTAATGTAATGTAATGTAATATAATGTAATGTAATGTAATATAATGAATTGTAATGTAAGGTAATGTAATGTATTGTAATGTAATGTAATGTAATGTAATGTAATGTAATGTAATGTAATGTAATGTAAATGTAAGGTAATGTATTGTAATGTAATATAATGTAATGTAATGTAGTGTAGTGTAATGTAGTGTAGTGTAGTGTAGTGTAGTGTAATGTATGTGTGTATATGTATATGTGTATGCATACATGTGTGTATGCATTTAAGTGCATACTTCGGATGTCCCGGGGGCAGGGCCCCATCGAGGTGCCCCCTTTATACGTTTCCATGTGCCCCGCTTTGGGGGCATCCGAGAGTGCCAAGGGAGGCTCTCAAGACGGGCACGAGAGGCCCAAGAGGCCCTCAAGACGAACCACGATGACCCCGAGATGGTAGAAGAACGCTCGAAGAGACCCAAGACAGCTTTAAGTATACCCAGAGAGTCCCAACACGCTTCAAAAGGGCACGAAGGGAACCCCCTACGAAGGCCCCAGTATACCCAAATCACATGTTTGATGGTTTTGAAAGTGTTAGCGTTCTCGTTTTCGTTCGGCCTTCTAATGCTCCAAGACGGTCTTAGAGGTCCCTAAGGTCCATGAGAGGTCCCCGTGACGGCCCGAAAGCGACCCGAGAGAGCGCCAAGACGGCCCCACAGCATCGGCACGAGCGGGGATCCAAAACGGACATTTCGAGCCCCGACGCCAAGCGCCCCGGGGAGGCCCCCTGGACGCTCCCGAATATCCCACGATGCCACCCCCAAGAAGCCCCAAGAGGCCCAGAAGCCCCCGAACGCCTTCCGAGAGCGTCACCCGCAGGCATCCACGGAGGCTCCCGGCAGGGTCCTGCCGGGTTTTCGGGGCGTTCGGGCATCCCCTCCCCTTGGGCTGCCTGGGCCCTCCTCGTGGCTGCCTTGCGCGCCTTCCTGGAACCTGCCTGGGCGCTTGCAAAAAACAGCTGGGGGATCCGACCTGCACGCGGACCAATGGGGCGAAGTCGTGCTGGACGTCGCCCCCATGAGCAGAGTAAGCCACGTCAGCTGCCTTGTGCCGTGTAGAGTGCAACATCTTAACGCTTCCCAGCAAGGCACACTACAGCATCAGGGATCCCCAAGGCCGCGCCCAAGACGGCTTCGACTGACCCTGGCAGCCGTAGGACCAACTGAGCCGCCCCATCTCATTGACCCCCAGGGTTCCCAAGGGACCTCCGAGGGCA